AAACGACTTGACGAAAACCGGCAAACGTCAGAATGAGCCTTGTCAGAGGTGGAGCGTCTAGCTGTTAATCTGCCCCTCATTAGACTGATCTTGCGCGGAGAGGAGCGGGTCGATGAGATGGGATCCTCCTGATTACCAGTACCCGTCGATCCCCGGGGGAGCTACCGCGTCTGCCCACGGGGGATCTGAGGCTTGGAACACGGTGGTATAGCTAGTAGTATAGGACTAAGGCCAGTAGGTCTCTCCGCTTCTCGACCCATCGTCGCCGTTGTCGGCTGCTCGCCGCATCTTCGCTGAAATGGCCAAATAAAACTGCCATCGCTGAGTGCGCCTGCTGTCTCCCTGGTACGCGAGAGCGCGCGTTTTCAGGGGCGTAGACCAACAATTGGCTGTATGCGTGTTGGGTGCAGCGTGGTCAAACTCTCGCACTTCGTCTAACTAAAGTCCCAGGACATGGGTTTACGTATTTCGGAGACAGGGATGATGCCATACAGCCTGCATGGAATGCAGCGGTCAGGAACCAAGTGGAACCTTGGTGTGCACAACCAACATCGAGCTGAAGACAGACCACGCTGAAGAGGAGATCCGTGTATACGATCCTTGGCAACGCGGAATTGCTGCGAACTGAAATAAGGCGGTAGGCTACGTACTTGAGGGTTGCAACTATGAAGTGGCTTGTCCAGAAACAGCAATATTCGCTTGCGTTTTGGTGGTGATTAACAGACGCCGGCTCTTCATCTAGGATGCTACTTGCGACGGCCTGCTTCAGCTGGCTCTTGGCACGCATTAATGAATCAGTTACCCAGGGTCCATCAGCCAAGGAGGGCCAGTTTGACGGATGCCTGTTGCCATGCCTGCTAGGTTGGCGTCCCTACAGCAGTCTAGCACCACGCTTCCTGGTCACCCGTCCTGACATCCAGGCACACACTCTAGCGCGGAAGCTGGACAATATTCTCGATGCAAGTATGGCGCTTCTGAGAGGTGTATCGAAGTTGTGGCTTCCACCTTTGCGCCGGTCAACCACATGGCGTCCTGTTCGATTCGAAAACGCATCAGACTCGGGAGCCAACGACATGGATCATGACTCGACTTAACGTACGCAGATCAGCCTGTGCTCGGGTCGGCCGAACCAAAAGCCCAGGATTCAGGCCTCGAAAATGGAAGGGATCATCTCATCCATCATTCTGGACCACTTTCGAGCGTCTGATGCTCGTCAACAGCAAATCAACAGCACGCCTCATCCGTAGACCCTGAATCCCATTTCGATTTACTCACAACCGAAGAAATCCGAGAAGCCAATCTTGAAACCCGGTCAACTCCCCATCAACAAGTGCATCTCGTCGGAGAACTAAGTTCAGCTGGTGGCGGGAACTAGGCTTCGCTTCCCCAAAGCCCTCCGCTTGTCGCCTCGACACTCGTACAGATAGTAGCGAAGGAGTCGGCTGTGGAGCAGACTGGTGTTTCTCGTACAGGACCGGCCCCGGTTCTCCAGGCTTTGGATCCCCACATCCAGTCGATGGCCGTTGGATGCTGTCCGGCTCACGCCAAACGACTCCCCGGTTCCAACCCAGCGTATGATCGTGCCGGAATGATAGACCCGTCCCGGGATCACGCTGGACCGACATGCCTGGCGTTGATTCCGCCTCCGCCGTCGCCTGCCAAGACCGAGAATGAATCTCGAGAATGGACTCGTCGTCGCTGCTACCGTGTCGATGAAAGGGGCTCACGGGCAACCAGGTGCCCCGTTTCCCCAGCTTCTTAACCCCTAGTCATAGTCCGTTGACCTAATCCTCGGTGGCGCCATGGAAGCGAAGCAACGTAGTTCTTCTGTATACCTCCTCCCAGGGCCCTTGTCGACAGAGTCGTTCGTGCCAAGTTGCCTTAGTCCCGACTCGGATATGCGAACAAGACTGTCCCTCTTCTCTTAAGACGCAGCCGGCGCCAAACCGAGTTTCTCAACCCGACAACGTGGTAACGGAACGAGGAACGACCCGAATCTCCAACTCAACTGGGAAGCGACCCAACAACCAACGCGACATGGCTCAAGACTTGTCGGGGGCGCTTATGGCGTCGTCGATCGTCATCATATGCATCACGACGGCTGCCATTGCCATGCGGTTATGGATCAGGGCCAACCTGAAGACGACGGGAGTGGACGACTGTAGGAGCCCGATGTCATGAATGAGTTGAGGCACAGCTGACGAGATCGACAGACTTAATCACAGGCGCTTGGGTACGCCGCTCCGATTCCCTGCGTTGGCGATCCGCCATGCTCTTTACGTTAACCCGACACGTTACTAACCATGAGTTAGGTGTTCTTGATAGCCTTATGTGTGGCAACCATCATGGGTCGGTATCTGCGCTCGTACTGGAGATGCCACGAGGAGGTGAACTAACAACCAATAGCTACCAAGTCTGGCTTCGGACTACATAAGAAGTTCGTCCCCGACGAAGATTACGAAATGTTCCTAAGGGTTAGTTCAAGCCCATCATATCTCTTTACCAAGTGCTGACTTTCCGGTTCACAGTTGACGACCGTCTGCTCGTCCACGTTCAGTTGCGGTGTCTCTCTTGCGAAATCCTCCTTCGCCGTACTCTACCTACGAATCCAACCTAGCAGGAAACTCCGAATCGCAAACAAGTACCTAATTGTCTTCCTGTTTGCCCAGGCCATCGAAGAAAGCTGCGTCGTTATTTTCAACTGCCGCCCGATTAGCGCATCATGGAATCTCGAGCAGTTGAAGACGGCCAAGTGCCTTGATATCCACGTCCTGTGGTGGAGCACTGTGAGAATATTCACTTATCAGTTCTTTGGGTGGTGCTAACCTATTAGTTTGTTTTCAACATGTCCACCGATTTGTTCCTCTTCATTCAACCCATTCCTGCCATGTGGAAGCTGCAACTGCCCCTGACGAAGCGAATCGGGTTGATCTGCATGCTTTCCCTTGGTCTCTTGTAAGTGACCGTTATACTTGGCAAGACTCCGCGCTCATTCATCCAGGGTTTGCATTACCTCGATCATCCGTATCATATTCGTCACACGCATCGGAGCAAATACCACTTGTAAGCCTACATCACTTTCCCTGTCGCAGCACACTAACCCTCCTTAGACGAATACGTTGAGCCGATGATTTGGTCAGAAGTCGAACTCGGGGCGCTAGTCATCTGCTCTACCATCCCATGTCTGCGACAGGTCGTACAAAAGGTTCCCTGGCTCAACCACGCCCTGGGTCTATCCAGCAACAAGACGTCCCAGAACTACTACGGGCACTCCGGTTCGCGCTCGAAGAAGAACGGCTCTATCCCCCTCAAAAGCTACAACCAGAGTCACAAAGACTACCTACAAAGCAAATCCAAGGGCAACGGTCCGTACTCTAGGGATTATGGCTTGACCAGCAAGGCCGTCGGAGGCCCACACACGAAAAACGACAGTACAGAGGAGATTTTCCCGCACAAGACGGACGGAAACGGTGCGATCATGGTCACCCACGAAGTTGTCCGAGATGTCGAGTCCCATACCACGTCGTCAACGGCCGGGTCCGTGATACACGACAACTATTACGAGTCGGCGGATAAGCAGAGATCGAAATGAGGATGAAGTTATGTTGTGGTCATTGTCGGCTGTTATATACATGTCACGGAGCCGACTGTAGGTCAAAGAGCGCGTTCATGGTAGATGTAGATATTGCCAATGTCCGATAAGAAATAATAGAACGCAAGTCATATGGAAGCGTTGTCTCATCGCATTGATGCAGCTCTTCGTTATTTTCTTCAATAAAACTAGCGGGCGTATGGAATATCTGTACCATGATAAACTTGGGAATAACCTCATAGATCTACCAATGCGACTCTTGGTGAATCGCTATAGGCATCAAGGATTTTATGTGCGGGTAGTTCGTGCTTGATGTTGACTGTGACCGCAAAAGGGCCCGACTAACAGCAAAGGGCCTATAGGGCAAATTTTTAGCCCCCAACGTCACGAATCCTAGCTACAGTGGTTGTACAACAACCATCATCTTCCGTAGTATAGTGGTCAGTATGCAAGCTTGTCACGCTTGAGACCCGGGTTCAATTCCCGGCGGGAGAGTCGCCACATGTGGAAACACATGAACCTTTTTTTGCACTTTTTGGCTTCACTTTTGATCTGTGAATAAATTCAGCCAGTCTGAATGTGAGCGGAGTTGTCTTTTGTGTTGGAGTCTGCAACAAAGAACACACAGTACTACAAGACATGTAGGATTGAGATGGGTACAGCGCCGCGACTCTGGTTGGTTCTGGTTTCTGGCAAGAAGAGATGCCAACCCATTCAGAGTACTAGACTGGTGCGTTGATTGACAAGTCTTTTGCTGGATGAGGTGCCGCAGATGAGGTATCTCAGTGTAACAGTGCATTCCTGGGACCAGGACAAGCCGGATATTCGCTGTCAGGGCAAAATCGCACTCGGCCCTTTTCATGAAACTGCGAGCCTCGAAGACCAAAGAGATTCGAGAATGGCTGGTGGTAATATCGCAGACGGCAGACGAGCCTCACCATGTTCTTAGTACCTGCAACAGCCGACCAGCTCCCCATTAATACCATCGAGCACACCAAGCGAATAACCAACTGTGATCTTTATTCGGGGCTGCGATGATTTATGTCATCCCCTTACACATCGACCGACTCCCCGTTTCTTCCTCCAAAAGCAATCCCGATTGTGCGTGTTTCCCAGTTCGCGAAAGCAGAATACAGCGGTTCGTCTACTGAAGTTCGTCTACTGAATCAAGCACTAGTAGGCCCTACAGTGCTCCGAGTCAACAGTGCTGACTAAACACTGGTGCTGTGAGCGCACGGACCCGTCGGGCACATGCTGGACCCACTCTTCCGCGCAGTCGGCCGACGGACCACGGCGTCGGTGCCACCAAAGTGATATCTCGGCCATCAAAAGAAAACAACTCTTCTCAACGATCCCAGGTGCAAAAAGAAGTATTAAAATAGGAAAAGAATAGCAAAAACGAAAGGCTTGCCCTGTGCTGGAATCGAACCAGCGTTTTCAGCGACTTGCAGGAACCACAAGCTGATATCCTAACCACTAGATGAACAAGGCCTTGGTTGATTGTGACAGGAAGCCAGTAATTTGCATCTATACCCGGGCTGTCGGATTCATGTGGGCCCGGCCAACATCATGACTTACATAATCGACGTCACCCACCTGCGAGCTTGTGGCAGGAGCTGCAGTAGGGGTTAATGCCTTGAAGGGACCACACTGTACAACCCAGACTCAGCATCAACATCAACGTCCCTGTTCAAAGCGGCCGACCATACGCAGTGCAATTGAACTTCCGCGCCTCTCTGGCGGGAAGCGGACTTCTGCGTAGGGCACCAGCTCTGTGAATACAACGTGGTGCGACACAGCACCAACACACCCATCCGGTGCAGCTGGATCTGTGCCGAGCACGATGAGCAGGTCGGATGTGCGCTCACCATCGTCTGCCAGTTGGAGCACCTGCCTGGACGCCTGGGGATTGTCTATTTCCACTCTATCCAGCTCTGATGAGGCCGCGGAGGAGAATGGTTGGATCCCGTACCATGCCAGCTTCACAGCCGAAACTTGTCGCCGTGCCAGCCTCGCCCTGTAAGTCAACAGACAGACCACAGTATTCTCTATAACGCAACACTTGCCGAAATATGCAGGGATACTGAGTCCTGACTTGGAGCATTGCCGTGCGCAATGGGACACCGACTTTGCCAGGGCAACACATTATGACAAACAATACGAATCCTGCCTTGGACCCAGCATCACATAACTCGCTCTTAATCAGGATTCTTCATCGGTCAAGAAATACCCAGATGGGCAGAAACATACACTGGCACATTCATTCACGTCATCACAAGTTCACAGTACTCGGCTTTCAGTACCATGAAACAGTTATATTAATTCCCTTTGCCAGCTCGAACGCCATCCTAACCTGCTGGAAATGCAATAACCCACCACTAGTCGATCTTCGTTAGCTTGGCCCTGTTACGAAAGAATTCAAACTGCGACTTTGCCAACGCCTTCTCGATCTCCAACAATTCCGGCAGCCCATCCAACGCCTTCTTCAAGTCGAGCACGACCAAGCGCATAAGTTCCACCACGTCGGCTTCCTCCTTCCAGTTGAACTGCAATTGCCAAAATTTCGCGTCGAACAACTCCACCTGCTTGTTGAGGAGCCGCTGGTAGGTCGCGGCCTGCACGCTCGCCTTGGCTACCCCCCGCATGTCGGCGCACTTCCACTCGTTCAGTAACCCCTTGCACAAAGGATAGCGAGCACGATGCTGCCGACGTACCGTTTCGATATTCTTCTGCGCCTCGGTGAGCATGGTCCTGGCCAGCGCCATTGCTTGCCCCATGTAGAGCGTCTCGACCAGAGCGTTTAAGAAGTGCTCGGTCATATCGCAGACGAACGGCAGGCCTTCGGGGAAGATGTACTCGTCGGCAGTCTGGAACGCCTCCCAGGTCTTTTCACGCTTGAAGCTGGCCTGGTTGTACCGCTGCATAGGGATAACATATTCGCATTTTTCGTCCGTTGGGCACGATACCATATTGCATGTGACCATGCAGCATTTGTGCTTGTCGCAGCGAAAATATTTCTTCATCTCCCGTTGGATGCCGCAGTGGCACTCGGTCGGCTTAGCGAATGGATCCACGAGGAACTCCTTTCCATCGGAGATCAGTGGTCGGATGTCGCAGACGAGAGTGTGTGTTATAACTTTGTAACACATGGTGATGGATTGGATTGGAATGGAGTAAGTGCAGGCGTAAGGGGAAAGGAAAGGAAATTGAAAGTAAAGTGTGATGGAGTCAATTGACCTTGTATATATATAGTTGAAGAAATTGCTGAAGAAATTGCACATATAAGTTCTTCAGAAGTGCCGCATCGACGAGATCTTATAGCCTACGGAGAATGGGGCCAATGCAGCGTTTGGGCGTCTTTGCTACAAAGAGAACTGCGAACATGGCAGATCAGTGTTCAATCGTCTTTGTCCAGCAGACGAACAACAGCATTATACGGCACATTCAACAAAGGAAACGCGTGAACATGCGTGTGCCGTAACAAACAAACAATAAAACATAACTGTCTATCTATACCCAAAAAGGATTCGTCGGTGAGGTATCATAGGAACACAACGCGCGTTGCAACATGCATCAACCGCGTTCATAATAACAAAAGAAAGAAACCTTGACGGCCGCACATACATTCAAGTCCGCGGCCAACAAATCCACTTCTAAGACGATCCAAACTTCATTATTCTCTTCCAGGTGCTCTCCTTCTTTTCCTCCGAATTCTCCTCCTTGACGTTGTGTTGCCCAACAATTGTGAGGAACACCTGGTCTAGTGTTGTCGGGCTGACACTGTAGTGGCCGACGCCCAGTTGATCCTTGTGCGCCTCCAAAAGCACAACCAGGTGACCAATGCCGCTCTGGGTGATATCCTGACCGGCCTTGATAATTTCGCTCTCGTCGCGACCTTGCGTCGTGGCAAGGACCTGGCTGGCGCGAACCGAGAAGCGGATCTGGCCGTGATATGTCTTTTCGTCGACCTCGGCGGAGGGCAGAGTTTGACGGATCCACTGGATGATGAGGTCCATGTCCTTTACAGTGGTGCGCGGCGCAGTCCTGGAAACAAGATGGATGTGAAGAGCATCGCCGAAGCGGTGGCGGAGGTCGTCCGGAGTTCCTAGGGCAAGCATGCGTCGAGCGAGGATACCAGCGCGGCCGGCCAGGGCGTCGGCCTCTTCCATGCTGTGGGTGGTGAGGAGAATAGATCGACCAGGAACCGTAGCAGCCAGTGTCTTCCACATGACTCGTTTAGACGCAGCGTCAAGGCCAGAAGAGGGTTCATCAAGTAGTACAACCGTAGGGTTGCCCATGAGTGCAATTCCGAGACTCAACTTGCGCTTGTTGCCTCCAGACAGCGCGTGCGCCATGCGAGTCGAGAAGGAACTAAGACCGACAGCTTGAAGAACGGCACTCACGTTGTGCTCTACATCGGTGACGCCTCGAACCTTAGCGTAAAACTCGAGGTGCTCTCTGACCGTCATCTGGTCCATGGCGTCAAACTGGGGGCAGACGCCGAGGTTGGCTCGCGCAGCAGCAAGGTTCTTGATGACAGAAACATCCTCGACAAACACATCGCCACCGTTGCGACTGGGCTTGATATCGCCGCGAATGATCGAGATGGTTGTCGACTTGCCAGCACCGTTGGGCCCTAGGAGAGCAAACACCTCGCCACGTTTAATTCCAAAAGTAACGTTGTCGACAGCCGTGTTCTTGCCGAATCTCTTTGTGACGTTCATTACGCGCAAGCCGTTCTCGTTTGCGGCGTTACTGCTAACGCGAGCGAGCTCGTTGGCAAGTTCCTCGTCTGAGTGCTCCGGGTTGGACTCCGGCTTCTTGCGTCTGTCGAAGAGTCGGATAAGGGAGGAACCCGCGGAACCTTGATCGAGCCAAATGAGCAGTCCAAACAGGAGAATGGATTGAACGATGAGATAGAGAATCGGGCCACCATAGAACAGAATGCCTCCGGGATTGGAAGCAAGCTCGTCGCCGTCGCAGGCAGTAGAAAAGAGGTTCAACGAGACGAACAACGCTCGCAAGACCGATCCAATGGGTGCGAATGCCGACACGATGAAGTGGACATAGAGGAGGCTCGAGTCAATCTCTGCAACCGGAGAGTACGTAATGACGCACATGTACGAAATCAGGTAGACGAGGAAGAAAAAGGCCTGTCCGGCAGCAGCCCAGGCATAGGTGCCGAGCTGGGTCTTGGTGAAGAGTGAAACGACGTAGGCCATCAGTGTAGCAGCGATGGCGTACAGGAAGAAGACTAGGAAGACGTAGCCCAAGTGGAACCAGATGCTCGAGATGCCAGCCCATATAGCCGTCACGATTGCGGAACTCACGAGGGCGATGATGAAGTCAAACAAGAGATACGCCATCCAAAGCGGGAATGGCCGGACACCGTTCGAGTATTCGAGTCCACGGACAAATCTGCGGCGTTCCATACTCGGGTAGAGAGCGAAGAAGGCAGGATACACTGACAGAGCGATGCCCATGTACACAATTAGGTTGAGGGCGTCGCCGGTACTGGGACTGAAGGGGACCTCGAAGGAAGCCCAGGTTGTCGCGATGGACGTGTTGGTCAGGAGCACGTCGAGCAACTGCTGAGCCGTCATGGGACTTGTGAGGAACAAGTTTGCAACCCAAGCAATGGTCGGGTCTTGCTCACTGTCACCGAGCCACATCGCAGTGGTGACGTTTTTGCGGTTGTCTCTGATGAACTTTTGGAATTCGGGGAAATTGTCGACAAGCTTGAGGTTTGATAAAGCGGCCCTCGCGGCACCAGGGCCATCGCCACTCATACCAGCGAAAAGAGGCCCAAAAAGGCGAGTTGCCGTAGACGTGGACAGTTTAGATGCTGGCCCAGCCAGGAAAAGAACCCGGTCATCAGAGTCTATCTGACTGAAAGCATCCTCGGTCGACGAGTTCGAAGCCTGGTCGGAAGGGGAACAGCCAGTCGGGTCCTGGCCTTGGATGTAGAGCGAGGTCAACCCAGCAGCGATGATCGGGAGAAGAAAGGCGACAAGGTAGGGGATTCGGTTCCGCTTCAGAATCGTCAAGCGCTTCATGAACAAGATGGAGGCCTGCTTCACGTAGCCGACTCTCTGCCCGTCCATCAACTTCAAACCACTGGGAGGCCCATCCTCCGTTTCCGACTTCTCGTTTTCGTTAGATTCGACGGGGACGGCTTTGTCAGTGTTACGGAAAGCTTCCTCATCTCTGATCTCTTCGGCAACTTGGAGGAAGACGTCTTCAATGGTAGGCCCCGTGAAGCGGTACTCACTGATGCCGGCGGCTTCAAGGTCCTTGATTACAGAGGCGGCTAGTAGAGAAGTGGGTGCAGTATAGGTGACGAGGTCGAAGGCATCCTTCTTCTTTACTCCGTCAACGTCGGGGCTTTGCGAAAATCCTTGATCTTTTGGCACGTTGACTTTGTAACCGCCACCTAGTCTGTCCTTGAGTTCGACGGACGATCCTTCAGCGCGGAGAGTTCCCTTCGAGAG